CAAATATTTCATGCGTGAGGTTCAGTGTCTGTACTTTCTATCCATGTAATTATCATACTTACAAAGATTAAGCAGCAATAATCCCTAGGTCACACAGAACCTGACTCAAACCCCAGGCTCATAATCCAAATATAGCTCTAAGACCTTCATGCCATGACTCTTCTGAGCTCTTATAGCTCTTAAGAAGTGGCAGATAATATGCCCTTTTAATTTTCTTGCTTAAAAAAAAAAAAAAAAAAAAAAAAAATCCTGATCAATGCTTTTTGAGTTCTAGATATCCTACTCCCAATTAGTATATCAATGCCTGGTTAGTTTTCCCTCCCTTCATCCACCCTCTTTCCTTTTTCTTCATTGTTTCCTTCCTTTCTTCCTTCATTCCTTCCTTCCTTCCTTCCTTCCTTCCTTCCTTCCTTCCTTCCTTCTTTCCTTCTCTAGATATGTAGATATAGATATAAATGAGCATTCTATTAACTGGGTAACATTAAAAAGTATAAATTATGCCTTCTCAGGAAAAATGTTGAGAACCACAGCTTTAGTTTTATATAGCATCAAAAACAGTCCCTGGAAGAGCAGTAGGTTTGGTGATTTTGTGATTTATGTTTGTTTCACCCCTTGTGGAGAAAAAGTTAACCAAACCATTTCTCCTTCTTTAAGACCAATTTGACCTTGGGTTAACTTTCTTGCTCATTACTCTGGACACATGATGAAGGCAGTCTCCCTTCTGTGTTACTAGGCCAGCACTGGGTTTAGAGTGAAAATGGCTCATAACTGGTCAAATGTGGACTGGGAGGGACTATCTGTAAACTATAAGACATTTTATGTCTTCCTTCAGTGTGGTGACTCTCGGAACTCGGTTGTCCCTTGTGGAGTCCCTGAAAGTTTTCACTATGGAGTCGTTACATGACACATTGACTCCCATAGGCGTGGTGCTGCTTAGCCAGGGTGGATCCTGCACCCACAGCTAAGCTGTCACTCGAGGCAAATAGCAGTCAACATGGTGGACTGCTGTGTCAGCCACTGCAAGGAGTCCCCTGGGGAGAGGAGCAACTGACGCTGCCTTACTGGGATCTATGTTTCCTGTTATGTGTCCATCTAAGTAGAGCTGTGGGTCTGGTTGTCTTGTGAGCCTAAATGCCTAGTTAAGCAGACCTCCAGGTGGGTGTTGTGCCGTAGTCATTATACGACAAGCTTAGAGAAGGCTCATGACATGTTTGTTTTCTCAGCTGCTATATCCCTATTTCTTAGCACTGTATGTGGCACGTGATAGGAGCTAAATATGTACTTGTCAAAAAAAATTGTCCCTGTACATCAAGTGATAAGTAATAAACGTAATTACCATTTTCAAAGCTTTTACGAATTTGAATTAAGTCAGGGTATTCTTGCATGTTGACCTCACTGAACAATGCTTCCAGAAGTGACAGGTCAAATGTCGTCTCCAGTGTACTCAGAACGTTGTACACCACTCTTTGTACAGGGACCAGGTTTCTAGCAGATTCTTGAGAATCCTTAAAAAATATTGAATGGAGAAAATATAAATACAGGCTCCCAAATAACAGAAGAGCTTTCTAAAGTGATTTTATGGTTCATGTATTATAATTTCCCTCTGTAGGTATCTTCTCATGTGAAGTTTTAGAACTGCTGTATTTTTGTATGGCTACTAGGTGATCGTGACATAATAAACCTCACTTACGTCATACATTTTATTGGAGATGTGTCCCCGGTCACGAAGAACCTCAAGGAAAGGAAATGGCTTTTTTATTGCGTTTGCAATCTCCACCTTATGTCTTCTGAAGTGACTGAATACAATTTCACAGAAAACCTTTTTGTCTATGTTCTGGTCTTCTGCGGGCATCCTAGGGAGAAAGAATACCATGTGAAAGTGGTCATCAAGATTCCAAGATGCTTGCGGAGCCTGTGAGATTTTATACATGAAGAACAGGCTGTGAAGGACCAATATATATAAGATAAGTGGTCCTTAGTAGAGAGTAAAATAAATGGAATTGAAGCAATAAACAAAGATTTAATAGAGGAAAGTGTGGAGGTTAATTAAGAAAGACTTAAACGTAGGATTGAAAAATCCAGTCCCTTCTGCTCCAATCACAGCCACTGTAAAGATACCTTTATATATTTGGAATTTATTTAATGCAAAAAATTAAATTTGCACAAAATTGAAATGAAATAAACAGGTCATTCATAGAGAAATAAAAAAACAATAAAATAAAAATAGAATCTAACGTTGAACATGTTATCTTAACTAACAACTAAAAGAAATCTCAGAAAAATTAAAACAAGGTATCTTCTGCTTGACCAATAGCAGTTAAGAGCAATACCATCCTATGTCATCAAATTAGCTCATAAGTGAAAAATGCTTTCATAATGATATAGTATACTTTGAGAATTTCACAAGAATATCAATCCTTCTGGGTCTTCTGCTTTGGGTTAATATAAACCTATCTGTACTTTGTTATATATGGTGAATCTTTTTAGGCATTTGAACTTCAGAAATTACTGTTGATTACAGTGAAAGTAATTTTAAGCATGAGTCTGTAATTTTGGTTCTTAGTTGATAATTTTATTACTCTGATAATAATGTTTTAAGCAACATCTTATATTCCTAAACGTTATGAAAACTTATGCTCTTTCTTTGTCAAACCAGAAGAGAATTATTGGCACTTCCCAGTACCCAATATGCATCAGGGAATAATAATGTCACTTAATTGTGTGAAAATCCTGCAAGAAAAAGTTTCTGGTTAAAGATGGTAGATTGAAGAGAAGCATTTGTCTTCTCTTTTAATGAGAACCTCACTAAAATGATAATAAAGAAATCTGGTTTATAATGACAAAGAGAATGGCAGAGGGACAGTGAACAAATGAGAGATTTCAACCAAAAACTATAGGGCAAAAAGTGGTCAGAGGAGCATTAATTGCTATTGAAGGTGAAGGTTGCTCCCAGCGGTAGAGAAAGCAACCAGTGTGCCCTGTGGAATCTTGAAGAGGCAATGACGATTGGATGGGAGACACGGTGCTGAAAACTGATATGTGATTTGAAGAATGAAAAACAGAACAGTGCACGCTCTACCCTACAAACCACAAGCTGACCACCTGGAGGCAGGCAGCCTCTCAGTGGCAAACGTCACTGTCCTTTCTATCACCATATGTTAGTGCTGCCTGTTACTGGATTTCATATATGGAATGATATATCACGTGTGCTTTTGTGTGACTTCTTTTGCTCATCACCTGTATCGTTGAAGGAATAGAACTTTGTTCCTTTTTGCCATAGAGGGTAGTCCATTGTTTGTTCATTTTCCTGTTGATGAACATTTGGATTGATTCCAGTTTTGGACTATTATAAATGAAGCTGTTGTCCTTTTTGTGGCAAGATGTTTTCATTTCTCTTGAGTGAACAGCTAAGATTGGAATTGCTGGATCATTGTGTAGGAGTATGTTTAACCATTACAGAACCTTCCAAATTATTTTTCCAAATCTATTAGATATAGCTTTCTCATTTTAGCCATTCTAGTGTGTGATTGGTAGCTCATGTAGTCTTAATATGTATTCCTTTAATAATTAATGATATTGATCACATTGTCATGTGTTTATTGGCAATTAATATACCTTCTTTTATGAAGTGTCTGTTCCAGTCTTCGGCCCATTTAGATGCTTGAGTTGTCTTTTACTGCTTATTGACGTGTAAGAGTTTGTTATATACTATGGAAAGAAGTGTTTTGTTTGATTTATGTATTAGAAACATTTTCTCCTAGTCTGTGGTTTGCCTTTCATTTTCTTAACCATGTCTTTTGATGAGGAGAAAATTTTAATTTTTAAAAAAATTTTTTAAAATTTAGTTTCAAGTATCCAGTACATTGGTTAGACATCTATATAGTTCATAAAACGATCCCCCCAGTTGCTCCCTCCCTCCTCTGACCCTCCACCTAGCCAACTTATTAATGCCGACTGCATCCCCTATGCCATGCTCCCCATCCCCGTGACCATCCACCAGCTACTAATTTGTACTTCTTTAACCCTTCACCCCATTCTCCCAGCCCCCAAATCCCACTCCCCTCCCCTATGCTCCCCACCCCCGTGACCATCCACCAGCTACTAATTTGTACTTCTTTAACCCTTCACCCCATTCTCCCAGCCCCCAAATCCCACTCCCCTCCCCCCATTGCCAAATTTTCCACTATATTTGTGGGTCTGTTTTTGATTAGTTTGTTCTTTTTGATCCTTAGATTCCGCATATCAGTGAAATCAAATGGTATTTATCTTCCTCTTTCTGACTTATTTCACTCAGCATAATAACCTCTAGATCAATCCATGTTGTTGCAAATTGTAGGATTTCATTTTTGTAATGGATGAGTAATATTACATTGTATATATGAACCATAATTTCTTTATCCAATTGTCTGTTGATGGACATTTAGGTTGCTTCTCTATCTTGGCTCTTGTAAATAGTGCTGCAGTGAACGTAGGGGCGCATATATCTTTTCTAATTAATG